TTACCAACATCGATTGATGAACTATCCAGCCCGAAAAAGGTAACATTTTATTATCATATTAATGATATTATGCTAAAATACGCATTCTAATTTTTTTATTACAGATTATGACAATGAAAATATAACAGCATTGACAGTGACTCGGACAATGAATCAGAGAGAGATAGTTGTGACTCAAGCCAAAGCGAAGCCGAAAATGATTAAATAACATTGTCATTCAAATTGTAATTTGTCATAATTTTTTTATAATAAATATTTTTTATCAAGTAACTAGTTAATTTATACTAAGCAAATTGATTATTGAAATATTGGAATATATCTAAAATTATATGATTATATACTTATAAGTCTAAAAAATATTGATATAGAATATTTGTTTCATCTCAACACTCATATTGGAGTGCTATGCCGAATAATCAAAGAGACGTCATTTCCTCCCACACGAAAATTTGTGAGTTGATTTTAAATATAATACTGTGATGAATAAAAAAAATCAGCTAGCAATAAGTCGAGGGAAACCTGGTCAGCTGATGCCTTTAAATAGTCAGTAAATGCTTCTGGCTAACTTCTACGTAACGACCTTCAAAGTATCAGCTGACGATTTTTCCACCGAGATACAGCCAGCTGACGTATATATTTATCAATTGTTACATATAAGCTATCATCTGGTAAATTTTTAACCGAGAGGATATCACTGAAAGCGAAAATTTTTTTCCCATGATCTAGCCATCAGCTGACGTACAATGCACTATGTTATAACCAGCTGACTTTTTTTTTTGGTTGAGGTATTGGGTTAGCTATAACTTGATAAACTTTTAGCCGAGAGGAAATGAGTGAATTTATTTTTTTTTTCTTCAAGCGTGGGGGGTTACAACTGCTCATCCCCCCCACCGAGCCTCAGCTGACATTCACGAGGCTTTATAGTTCGATTTTCTGATTACCAATTACCAATTATCACTTGAGAGGAACTTGGTCATATAAATCTGTTACTGGCTCTCGGGCTATTATGATTCTAGAAAAGATGATTTCTTCAATAATCTCATACCTAATGATTAAAAAAGTATTCAGAGTAAAAAATGGTAATTATCGCATCATACTACTTTTTGCTATTTTGTCATTTTAAAAATATATGTTCAAATCAAAATATTCATAAAAATAGTTACGTTTGGATAAGAAAGTATCCCAAAGAGTCATGTCATGATCACGTCTATCAACGGTTATATTACCTGAATAATTATCAAATCTGAAATATTCACAACGATTACCAATACATAATTCAGCAATAAAATGAATATTAATTGATTTATTTATTCAAAACTAGCCGGCCCGACAGACTTCGTCCTGTCAAAAAAAATTGTAATGTGGCGGTGTTTTGTGCCTACCTTTTTTCTATTCTTTGCAAAAAATTATCCTGAACAGAACCGTCACCCTGGTAATAATTCGGTGTGAATTAAAAATAATTAAATAAAACACTATAATCATTTAAAAAAAAGTAATTTTAATAATGTAAATCATAATTCAAAAATCAGTTCAATTTTCATTGTAGTGCTTTGTGATAAACGATGTTTTTTGTTTGATTACCTGGCGCATAGACAAACAAATCTGATAGTTTTCCAATACGGGAACAAACAACATACAATTTTCAATGTAAGAAACATGGGTTTTCTAAATTAATACCACAAACACTTAATGATACCATAAACGCACTGAAAACGCATTGGGATGCATGGTGCGAGATCATCTTCTTCTTTATACTATCCTTTGAATATAGTTGGTCGATTTTTCGCAACATTATATTTGCCGATCCAACCTTCAATTGGAGATTGTGAGGTGACAATCCTGGCAAATCCAGCGAGTTTAAAAACTCTAGTGAATCGGTCTTGGTTAGTTGCCGAATCAACTGATTCGCCTGTGATTTGTTCTTGAATTTTGAAATTTAATTAATTTACATCAATGTTTTTGGTTACCAATATAGCTTGATTAATAGAAAGATATTTCTATGTTTATATAAATATATTCAAAATTAGATTATCAAAAACTACACAAAATGTCATGACATAGATCATTGTTTTTTTTACAAATTGCGTTGCCTATTCGATTAAAGAAGAACAGGGCTGTTTTTAGGGTTTTCCCGGCAATTATTCGTTTTTTTCTTGCCGTAACAACCATCCTTGGACTTCAACGAACATTTTAAAAAAAGAATTGGCTAAATTGGTCCAGGCGTTGTTGAGTTATGCGCTTACCAACACCTTTTGCGATCCATTTTTATATATAAGATTTAAAAGATAGTTATATTTATTGTAATATTATTGCATATACCAATATGCATTTCCACAATACTTATACTGTTGGTACATATTCTTCAGGAAGAACTCCCTTTGTGTAGGTAATTAATAAACAAGTTTTTCCAATATAACCATTGCCTACGGCGATTATTTTAATGGACTTTGCTGACTTTTCCGTCTATTTATATAGAGCATCGGTTATGAGTTGGTATATCTTTTCATGTATACTGAAATATAAATATACTAGTGGGGCGCATGGCATCAAAAATTTACCTTTTTTTGAAACAAAAAAGACTTTTTGAAGGAAAATTTATTTTGAAATATTTTGGAAATTCTGAACTTTTTTTCAAAGCAATCGTACTGCTTTAACTGCATAGAGACGAAATATCGAAGCGCGTAAGCGCCGCGTCGCCGTCTAACGGATGAACATTGGTACGGAACCGATAGGAATGTAAACAAAATTTATACTTTTTGTTAAAATCTACGGGCCATTGTCTAGGCGGCTCACTAGCGCCAAATTTGCGACCACAATGGCACTCCTAAGTAGCCTTTCTGAACGCGGATTTCTGAGATAATAGGCTCTGATTCTTTTCATTCATAAATTAAATGTTTAACAACGAACGATATTTGTTGAGCTAATTGATCGTAGTGCTTTCAACACATTGAAAACAATTTGTGTTATATTTAACAACTATTTTTATACGTGCTCAAAACTGTTAATTTGTATCGATTCGTTGACGAAGGAAAAACGTTTGACAAGAGAGGATCGGCAACGTCCATAGTTTGTTGGTGTGCACGGGCCTTTTCACTTAGAACGAAATCCTCGTTCAGATGGAATACTTAGGGGTCCATTTGTAGTCGCAGATTTGGCGCTAGTGAGCCGATGAAAAAGTATTTTCAAATATTTTATGTTGGTTACTAAAAAACGTCAGTGTTACTTTTGTGTAAGTTTACAAAATGGCGATTCATGTTCGTTTGTGTTTGTATATTAGTTAATAAAGATTTCATCAGCAATTGCTCTCAAATGCATAGCCCTTTGACAATATGAATAGAACAGCTTCAAACTCAAATGGAGGACATAATTACTACATTACTACGTAGTGCATTGACATATTAGTCTAATCATAATACACTTTAAAGCCGGCCACAGACGTAACTGTATACTTGCGCAACCTGCGACTTGCGCATGTATTCTGTAGCGTCTGTGGAGTGTTTTTTGCGCAACTTGACAGACTGGTGCAAGCGAGTGGGCATGAGCACTTTTTCATTATTTTAATTGCGCAATCATTCAAGTCGGCAAGTTCATTCGTTGGCCGCGTGTGGCAGCACATGTCCCGTTTCTATTTTACTTTATAGCGAATTCATAATATAAGTTTATGAAGTTATCGACAATTAAAAGTTATTAAATTAGCCCTCTGAACACTTTGAATTCTCTTCTGATGCTGTAAATACATAAATTAATAAAAAAGATATATTTTTAGGTTATGTTTTGACATTTATTATTTGACATTTGTGATATGCTTGCGCAAGTACTTGAACATAAACTTGAACCGTCTGTGGGCGCTGTGAAAATACGCCTGGTTGCGCATTTATTCAGTTGCGCAAGCATACAGTTACGTCTGTGGCCGGCTTAAGGAAAGAGGTCAGTTCTAGGAAATTGTGTAAAGGTGCGTCCACACCTAGCGAACGAACACGAACGAACATGATGAATAATATGCGCAGATTAAAAATTTCAAACAAAAGCGGCCCACGCGCATGTCAAAATCCATGTTCGTTCGTGCTCGTTCGTTAGGTGTGGACGCACCTTAAGAAATCAAGTATACGCTTCTGCAAGAAAGACATAATACACAAATAGAAAGCTGTTCCAGCTGTTTAAAATAGGATAGCCACTTCACACGGATCTGAATATACTTGGGAGAAAATGAATTGCTTAAGAATGTCGAATTTTGCACGGGATGATTAATAGTTAATGAGAGTTAAGAATGATAGACGATGTAATGAACTAACACTATAATGCATTATTCACTAAATTTCAATAAATATTTATATTAATAAGTAGAAACAAGTGTAGAAGTTATTCCAGTAGATGAGATGTGATATCTATTATATATAAACCGGTGTATTGCAGTGTATTTGTTGATTTATATTTCGATTTGATTGTATATTTATTATAATATAATATTATCTAGTATATTTTAGTTATTATTGTACTATTATAAAACAAAATAGGATTGTAATTCCAAAATTAGTTTCAAATACTCGTGCACTAAAATTAATTAATTTTCATTTCAAATTTTGCGCCATTAATTTGAATGCCAAAAGCAGCGCTATCACGTCGAGCGGAGGACCCTTTAAGTATTCCTTCTGAACGTAAAAATCGGGCGAGAGAACACGGGGTATTTTAATATTGTCTAGGTTGAGTACTTTCGAACTGTCAAAATACAATATTTTAAAATCTTTCATTCTGCTTTTTTTTTAAAGATCTTTACTAAAATCCATTTCTTTATTTTAAAAAAATAATAATTGTTTTACATTATTTTATAAACTATAACACTTTGTGATTATGATATATACATAATGAATTACAGCACTAAATGTATTATTCGCAAATTCAATTTGTTGAGTAAACATGCGATAATCAATGACTCATGATATGATAAAAATAAATAAAGTTATCTCATTCACACTAACATTTGATATTTATTGTAAAACATGAGATTGAATCAAATATAGTAAATGCTTAAATTGCCGTTGAAATAACATACAAATTATTATAAATCACAACGAAATCACATATTATTCTCAAAATATGGTTGATGAAGATGAATATTTTTCTCCAAAGGATAATAAAAAGTATCACAATAAAGTCAAGACATTTTGTGATAGGTTAGTAAGACCAAGTAATGATAATGCTGAATTAAGTAGAAGCAGAATACTTTCATGGGTAGAAGAAGCTGCACTTCAGGCTCTTAATAGTTCAAATTCAACAAGAAAACGGCAAGTCAGTAGTAGTGTATCTTCACAGCACGATTCAAAATCCAATTGTGATAATTCATGTTCTGAATTATTTAAAACTAAAAGGTTGAGAAAAAACAAAGGTAAAATCAGTTCTACAGATAACTCTGATGCTTCACAAGTCACAGAAAGCATAAAGTCTAATACTATTAATACAAGATCAAGAACAAAACTTTCAGCAGGATGTAGCGTTGAAACTCAATCGCAAAATGTAAGAGTAACTCGAGCTTCAAAAAAGAAACTACAATTACAAAATAAACAAATTACAAGTGACTCTAATGATAATGCTTCAAACAAAGATAACAAACATTGCCATCAGAAAGAATGTGATTTCGAAAGAAATGATTTTTCAAATAAGGAAAACTGTGTGTGTAAATCAATACTTGGTGATGACAAAAGTGCTCGTATAAAATTATCAGGACAATCAATTTGTGGTGGTTCAATTATATTAGAAGTTACAATAAGTTCTAAGGGTTGGAAAGTTAATTGTATAGGTCCAGATAATACTATAATTAAATGTAATAGAAAACCTGGATTTCAAATTGCAAATTTTGATATACGTGTAGATTCTGCAAATGTAATATCGAAAGGTAAAATCCTAGTTAAAAACAAGGAATGTGATGAAACTAATATGAATATAGATAAGTTTTATCGAAATAAAAAATGTAAATCAAATAAAGTTAAGGATATCATAAATCCTATGGTCATTATAGAATCAGATCAGGAATCTGGAAAAGATATATCAAAAGATCAAATGCCAATTAAATGTGAAGATTATGGTAAAACAATTATCAATATAGATAAGTTTTATAGAGATTCAAAATGTTTGGAAATTAGGAATGTTGCAAATTCTATGATTATAGAAACAGATCAAGAAAAAAATGAAATAAAACATGTAAAAAATATGTTAAATGAATTAGAAAACACAAAAATATTAAACACCTTGTTTTCATCTAATGAAACATTAATTCAAGACACACAAGAGGATCCTGTTAAATTACGAATAAAAACAATAGATGAAATAAATGATGCTATTGATACTATTGTAATAAATGATGATGAAAGTGAAAACTGTTTTTCTCAAAGTGATGCAGTGAAACAAATTATAGAAAACAAAAAAATAACAAAGAAAAAGAAAGTATGCCCTGAATTCAAATTCATAAAAGGTACTCCTTTTGCTGTAGATGCCTTTAATTTTGGAGATTTAGGTTCAAGGGGAGTAGAATATTATTTTCTTACACATTTTCACAGCGATCACTACATAGGCTTGAATAAAAAGTTTTGCAGGCCTTTATATTGCTCGCAAATCACTGGTAAATATAAATATAATCTATAAGTATTTGTATGCTCCAATAAATAAACTATATGAACACTTTTATTGCAGCTAATTTGTTGGATTTACGAATCAAAGTTAACAAAAAGTTCATTAATGTACTGGAATTAAATAAGCCTACAATTATTAATGATGTTGAAGTAACCGCTTTAGATGCCAATCAGTAAGTTAATAAGCAAAAATTTGTGCCAACGTATATATATATATATATATATATATTATATATATATATATATATATAATAATCTAAATTACTAATTGCTAATTAAAAAAATATTAAGTTTTTTAACACAATGAATTTAATTATACTACCAAATATATTTTATAATAATGCTGGTGTTAGACGTTAAATTTGACACTACAGTTTAATGTTTGAATTCAATACAAAATATTTAAGCAAAAATGATATAAAATATAAAGTTATTTCAATATTATATCAATTACACTAAATCTATTGCAAGCATCTGGGATTGCAGTATTTTTTATTAATTTACTTGTGTTGTTATTAGATTTAAAATTAATTACTTTTTGCAGTACATATCTTATCGGAAAATATATGAACTTTAAAAAAGCACAACATTGCAAAGTATGCAATAAATAAATTAATGTCACTAATTAAGTTCTATGTACTTCATTTATTTTTTCTTAATTTAACCGTTATTGGGCTTTTCTGTATTTTATGAATTGAGCATTTGAGCATAATTTTGGACCAAATTAAATTTTAATTAATTATTTGGAGTTACTTTTACTAATTAAGTTTTATAATATGCTTTAGTAAAATATATCTTAACAAATCAAAATTATTTCAGTTGTCCCGGATCCATAATGCTACTATTCAAAGTTTCTGGAAAATGCATTTTACATACAGGAGATTTTAGAGCTCATTATGATATGGAGTTATATCCATCATTACAAAATATACAAGTTGACAGATTATATTTGGATACAACGTAAGTATTTGACTGCATGGATGCCCTTTATATGTATATAAATATATATATATATATATATATAATATATATATATATATTGAATGGTAGAGTCTTGGATTTGTGTATATTTTGTAGAGTTTCGAACAAGAATCCAAAAATAATACAAAATAAAAAACAAGAAAAGTTTTTAAAAAAACAATTTCTTTATTTGATTATTTGTTTATTGTCGACGTTTCGGAACTAGGTACGTTCCATCTTCAGGACATCTGTCAAGAAACATGATCTTGATGAGATTTTAGCAAACAATATGTTTAGGAAAAGAAAATAGATTTTTCTTTAATTTAAGAAAAATCTATTTTCTTTTCCTAAACATATTGTTTGCTAAAATCTCATCAAGATCATGTTTCTTGACAGATGTCCTGAAGATGGAACGTACCTAGTTCCGAAACGTCGACAATAAACAAATAATCAAATAAAGAAATTGTTTTTTTAAAAACTTTTCTTGTTTTTTATTTTGTATTATTTTTGGATTCTTGTTCGAAACTCTACAAAATATATATATATACATATATATATATATATATATATATATATATATATATATATATTATTCATTTATAGGTGTGTGTGTGTGTGTTTGTGTGTGAGAGTCTGTTCGTAGTTTTGTTTGATGCTGTAATTTTTTATTAAATTATTCTTGGAAGGAGTAACATCAAATAAAAATGATAATGTGAAGATATTTAAGGGGGAAAGTCCATATAACATTTTCAAAAAATTGAAAAAATTTTTTTTCGATAATCTGCAAGTATAGTATGTTGAGCGTATATTAACGAGTCGACAAAAAAAAAAATCTCTTATATTAACAAAGTTATAGCTAACATAACGGGGCGGGCCGGAGTGCGCATTGTCAAGCGATCAAGCGTATTGTTAAATTTCGAGTGAAAAAGGTCTCTTTCATTATAATAACTAGAAATAATAACTTCTTTTGACCTACAACCGGAAGACTTCTATGTACCTTAGTACATGTGTAATATTGGTATACGAACAAAGGTTAGTCGAAAATATAGTTAGTTTAGCTGGAAAATTCGTAGTGTTCAGTCCATTTCAATACCTAAAAATGCCGAATTATCTAAAAGGTAAGCGAAGTAATATTGCACAAAATAACACTAAAAAGACGTTATCAGGGCAATCAGTTTACCGATAAAGCAGATGAAAAAATTGACGCCAGTACAAGTCATAATGAAAGTGCCAGTGGTCAAGATCTTCTAGACGTAGATTTAGCTCCATTACTTGGTAAAGAAATGAAACAGCATCTTTCACCAATTTATGAAGATTTGTCCAAAGATGATTTACTTGAACGATGCCTTGATGATCATACGCAGAACGCGAATGAAAGTTTCAACGCGACAGTTTTGCGACTATCACCAAATCACCCACATTGTGGACTAAGGGTAGTTGAAATTTCACCATATATTGCAGCTAGGATATTTATTGAAGGATTTAGTTTAATATTAAGAATAATGAACCTTTTGAATTTGACTGTTGGTACTTATGCTAAAGCATATGCTGATAATACTGATGAGGCGCGAATAACTTGACAGGATCGTAGCAGCCTTTCACAAATAAAAGATGCTGATACAGCTCACAAACAACAACAACTTACAAATAAACATCTTTTTGAAGATAAGGAAGAACTAGTGTATGGACCTGATATTGCAGATTAATCGGTAAGTAACTAAAACTGGTCATTTTCCTTTACTAAATCTTTAAACGCGATTATCTCAAAACTGTGTTTTCAAAAACTGCTCGTGTTGTAGCTCAAAAAGTTATGTATCGATTTGTCTGAAATTTGGTGAGGCCTTTCTCTATATTATTATCGGAAGGATAAACCTAAATCTTTAGATCTTTCGCGTTTATAAAGTATTTTCTGGAGCCCAAAATGTCAAAAAAATAGCCAAAATTTCAGATTTTTTTTTCAAAGGCTTGTTTTTCATTGAATTTTTTACTTTTTTTTCAATTTTATAGGTTTATCCTTCCCATTGATATGTTCTCAAAAGAAAACGTTAAAAAAAATTTTTTTCAGATCGACGGTTGATGAGTGAGAAATGCAGCAGTTTTCGACCTCGCGTCGGAGGCAGTCCACAAAAAGTTATGCTGAGCCGCCATTTTGAAACAATTTTTTTTTTTAAATATTTTTTTGTATTCCAAAAGGGTTAAATAAAGTTATGTCAAAGTTTAAAAACAATAAAATTATTCCATCACGTTTAAAAATATTTTTAAAATATGACCTATTTTCATGCGTCTATATGGACTTCCCCCCTTAAAATATCTTTATTACTCCATACTTCTCAACGTTATTGTGCATCATCATCAAGAGATATGAGATTTTTATAAAGAAATTAACACATAATAATATTAATGCAAAGTAACTAGTATATAATTATAAAATGCAACTTAGTACTATTATTCAGTGGTCACTATTTTATAAAAGAATTTTTAACTTCCCGAAGGAGAAGTTTATGTTTTCATCGAAAAATCTGATTAGCTACTTTTATGTTTTGTCGACGTTTCAAGCCATTCTGAATCGAATGAGACCAAATTTAGAAAAAGTGAACAGATTTTTTACCGTAAATCGACGTTTTTTCAAAAACAACCGGACCGATTTCAAAAATTTAAAAGCCATTCGATGTATCTCGATGAGGGCTAGCGTTTATCAATCTTGCGCAACGATCAGCCAAGCCGTTTCTTTGTAAATTGCAGAAAAGTGAAAAAAATTTCGTCCACGTTTTAGCCCGCAATTCTGAATCGATTTTGAAAATTCAAAAATCGTTTGAAAGATATTGGTTGGGAATTGACCTGATTAGTTTTTGGTAAAGATCGGCCGATCTTGTAATGAAGTGTTAAAAAAAAATTTTTCGACGATTTTCATGAATTTTTTTTTTGTGATAGATATCATGGTCTTCTAGATCAGGGGTCGGCAAGCTTTTAACTGTAGTGTGCCAAGCCACTCTACCAATATGATTTAGAGTGCCACCTTAATTTTGAAATATATAGTTAGGTTCTGGGGGAGAAGAATTATAACCAAATTTATCTTTTAAACATATTTATTAACAAATAACATAAATTTTTAATATAAACAGTGCTGGATTACCCCATAGGGGGGTAATATTACAAGGATCAATCGCCATGAATGATTCAAAAAATATTCACTTGGCTTTGACTGAGAGGCGTACTGTTTATGCCAAAGGCAGGTTTAGCATTTTTGGAGATACAGAGCGCAGAAGGTGCAAAAGTGGTCATGAAGGTTTTGAGAGTACAGATCATGCGATTGGAGTGACTCAAAAAATATTTTGTTCGTGGTATTTTAGTGATATGAAAAAATGATTAGTTTCCCGAAAAGGCAAGTCCACTGGTTTCAAAATTTTGAAAAAATTAAAATATCTAAAATTTTCAAATAATCGAATTACTTTAGAATTTAAAAAAAACTCGAAATTTTTGAATATCTCGGTTCTATTTATCGAGTTTAGTCCAATGTCTTTTTAATTTGTGAAATCAGTTTAGGCGTTTTTAAAAATTAAATTTTGATTTATCATATCACAAAAGCGCCTTTTAACATAAATTTTGACTATAAAGTTTTATCAAACTTTGATAAATTTTTAAAATTGTCAAATATTTTGACTCCTAATTGATATCCTTATGCCAAAATGTTCAGAAATGTCTGCTACGTAAAAATATGCAAAAAAAATTATTTTTTCTTTTGCGATTTTGCGCAAAGTTAAAAATTGTATTTAAGTAATTTAGAATAAAATTATAGTTTAATTAAAAAAGTAAAAAATTGTCTATTAAAAAGGGCGCCTGATCAGATAGGGCCTAGGGCGGCAGAAAGCTTAATCCGCCACTGAATATAAACTAAACAACTTTAATGCGAACCTTGTGCCTGGACATTTTTCCTTAACATTTCAAGATCCGGGGTATATTTTGTAACTTTTAATTTCACACAAGATTCTGAATGTTTAGTTGTTAAACGATTTCTTTGTGAACTCAAAATATGTTTCATGTGAGAAAAATTTGTTCACAGAGATATGTGGAACCAAAAGCTGAAATGAGAGCGCATACAATTTTCTTTAAACAATTAAATCTTTTCCAGCAATGTCATTCAACAATTTAATATGGCTGTCGATTTTTCCATAGAGTCATCTTTCAGATTTTTTAGTAATTCTTTAATTTTGTTTTCCATAATCTTCATTTCAAAATTATCAACATTAATCCATTCGAAAATCAACAAATCAAACGGTATGATTGATGAATCTATTAAATCTGGTTTTATGAGGAAGAAAAATATAGGCACATAAGCTTCAAAGTCTTTGCATCTTCTAGAAAATTCATCTTTAATTACATTAGCGTGCCACGTTAGAAAAATAATTATAATTAAACATTTTCTCTTATTTAAAAATCACTCGATATTTCCGATTTTTTCTCATTACTTTATAGAGTGCCATTCAAAACCCCAAAAGCCTGGCACGCGTGCCGTAGGTTGCCGATGCCTGTTCTAGATCATACTAAAATATTACGGCCCTACAACAAGTCGTTTAATTTTGAAAATTTGTCAAAATTTGCAAAAATTTGTGTTGTTTTTTTGACGTTTACCAAAATTAGAATTTTCATCGACGTTTTCTCAAAAACGGCTAGACCGATTTCAAAAATTTAAAAGTCAATCGATGTATTTTGATGTAGATTATCTTTTCTCAGTTTTGTGCGACGATCTGCCGAGCCGTTTCTTTGTAATTTGGAAAAAAGTGTTAAACTTTTCGTCTACATTTAAGCGCATGCTACCGAATCGATTTTGACAAATCAAAAACTGTTCGAAAGATATTAGTTGGGAATGCTATAGATTAGTTTTAGGTGAAAATTTACCGAGCCGTTTTCTTGTAATTAACTGTTGAAAAAAAAATTTAAGCCGATTTTAATGGATTTCTTTTGGCGATATATATCATGGTCTTATAGAACTTACTGAAATTTTACTGTCTTACGACAAGTAGTTTAACTTTAAAAATTCATTCAGTTTGAGAAAATGAGTAGTTTTTTTGATGTTTGTTAAAATGAAATTAAAATAAAATGTAAATTAAAATGATTTACTTGGTATAGAGTGTTCGTTCGTTTTCAATGATGTGTAATAAATCCACTCGGAATACTTTTAATCACTCATGAATTAATTTATATTTTATTGATTAAGTCGATTATTTACACATATCGTGAAAGTACCAATACCAACTAGTTTACAATGTAATTTATGTAAAATTACCCAAACTAAAGTGGCCTCTGGTGGCTGCGTTCGCCTACATTTAAAATAAATATTTCATGTATATAGTGATTACCGACAAGTCGTGTTTTGTTGCAATTTATAATTATAAATCAATTACTTTGCATTATCAATATTAAGTGCTAGTTTTCATCTAAAAAATCTCATATATCTACAGTTTATGATGAAAAATGTACATCAAAATCTATGGCATAATAAAGATGTTTTAAGAATCTTCACATTAACTTTTTCACTTACTTCACTTTTTTGTTAGTGTTACTCCCTACAAAAATCTGGTGGGGTGAAAATAATTAGCACCCCATTCATCAAAATAAAAGAGAGTTTGAAGAAAGACATTCTTTGTTAATTAAAAGTTTAAACCCTTTATGAGTGTCATCATTCAGGAAATCTAAAATACTATATAATAAATAAAAATATATATATGAAAAATAAATGAAAAAATATAAAGTGAGAAGTAGTATACGAGTACATACCAATCAGAATAAAAACAAAAACTTAAAACACTAAACTTAGTTTTAAAACAACTGGAGATAATTAATTTACCGCAGAGGAGGTTCATGGAAATTGAGCAAAAAATCTATATTTCAATCGTAAATATTTACAAAAGATTTTTTTTAGGAAAATCCTGAAATACATGTCAAATGATTTTATGTAAATCTGAAAAAAAAAATTTCAGGCAATTCTAAAATGTGACATTTTATTTTTGCCCATATTTATGACCCATATTATATGATTGTTAATTTCAGGTATTGCAAAAAACAGTACTGTTTTCCAGCACAACAAGAGGCAATAGACATTGCTACAAACTTAGTGAAAGTATTCCTCATGAAAAACCCGACAAAGAGAACTCTTGTTGTAGTCGGTTCTTACCTCATAGGTAAATTACACTATACATTTATCAATCAATACTGGTAGTCTTAATTTAATTACATTATCATTTTCATGTACTTAATTACAATGTGAACAGGTAAAGAAAAAATGTGGTTGGGACTCAGTAAAACATTATCGCGCAAAGTGTGGATAGAGAAGAGTCGATATGATCTTATCAAGGCTTTTGAAAATGATTTAATGTACTTAGAAAATGTTGTTGAAGAACCAAACGAAGCTGACATTCATGTTTTACCTGTTATGGAATTGAATACTGAGGTATTATAATAGTTACATATTGATTTAATATTTATCCAAATTTATAATATATTTTGAATTACTTTTATTTAATGACCTTGATTTTAAATTTGTTCTGATTTATTTTATTTTTCTTAATGAAATCAAGCAACTTTTAAAAATGCTTCAATTTTTTTTCTAACGCATAAGTATATTGCAGTAAAGGCAAGTAGCAAGATAAGGTCTATAAAATCTTTTTTTCTAACTGTTAGTTTTATAACACTGAACAATTATGTAAATATTGCATTTGTAATCAATTTAATATTATAGAATTTTTTTTTAGAAAATGAGCAAATACTTAGAAAAGTTCAATAACATTTTTGATCATATATTTGCCATAAGACCGAGTGGTTGGGAGCAGAAGAAGAAGCCTTATACAATTGGGAATGTTACTATAGCAGGTATTTTTGTCATTTCATGTTTCATATATATTCTGGATTAAAAGTTATTATTTATTAGAAAATATTCACACTCACACGTTTGTAGTAATTATAGTTATATTTACTATCAAATTAACTATCAATATATAAATGTTTCTTTAAATTTTAGAATATTTTTTTATTATCTATTGATTTTTTTCTTATGCTATAAATATATACTTCTATATTATTACAGGTGTTGCATACAGTGAGCATTCCAGTTACGAGGAACTAAAGCGGTTTGTTAGCTTTTTGAAACCAAAGAAGATTATTGCGACAGCTGGCAATGAGAAAGAACTTCGTCATTTATATAAGGATTGTAAGCTTGAAGATCCAAATTTAAATACAATTGATAAGTATTTTAAACAAACATCTTTTTAAAGAAATAATATTTTATTTTATAACTGTGATTAATTGGTATTAATTGAATTTCAACCATCAGAAGAAAAGAATTAATTAAATTTAATTCTTTTAGCAAATTTGGATCAAATTCATAAACATCATCACATAGTTAAAAAAAGAACATTCTAATAAAATTATGGATTATAAAACTTAAAATTTTATGACTATATATGACTATATATTGATGTTATGCTGCATTGCATTTTACATACAATGAATGCTTTTGCACTTTTAAAAAAATAAATATTTTAGAAAGATGGATACAATAATATTATGTTAATATATATATATATATATATATATATATATATATATATATATATATATATATATATATATAGGACAGGTCGATTTAAGAATTGCTTAGGCACATATGAGTTTTGAATTCTAGGGATCAAAATTAGAAACTTTGCTCAAGAAGCCATACCTCCAAAATGAATTCTGAAGTCCCGTGCATAAACCCAAAGGTTTAAATTTTGAAAAATGCTATTTTGACACATTTAGATTTTGCTGGCACATATCTTAGATACCTATAGCCACTATTTTTGTAAAAGACACAATTTCTCAATTTATAATATGTAGTATGCACAAATTATTGCAGCATAACATCAATATATTTATTACATAACTGAAGAAAAATCATCATTTCCATATTTAAACATTTCATTAAAGTTTAAGTTGCAACATTGAATAAATTTTCAAGGTTAAGCTCGATATATATATAAATTTATAATAATATTACAATATTGTTATTTTTGTAAAAAATATATTTTTAATATTTTAAATACATTGTTAAATATAAGTTATAATTTTTTTATGTGATACAAATTTGATTGCTCATGTGTTGATAATTAAATATTTTCAATATAAAAATTATTTAAGATATTTAATTTGATTGACAAATTTTATGTTTTGATTTGCTCTGCATTTATAAAGTAGTCATATGCGATATCCTGTTCTTGATTTAGCTGATGAAAATTTGTACAAACTGTTTTGATTCATTCATTTTGTATCGAAGTTATTTTAGTGCTGAATTAGTTAGTTACTTGTACTGAATTAAGTGTAAATAATGCATGAGTTTTATTAATCTTGCAAAGTGTTTGTAATTTCTAATAAACTGATGGATGCTGATGAGTAAAATCAATGATCAAAACTTCTTCCATGTAGTCAAAGTATTACAGAATCCCACTGCAATGTAACAAAAATACCACACCACACTCTTGATATTTATTGTACTTTTCAGAATCTGATTTTGGTGAAAACAATATTGATCTTCATACAGTTTTTTTTATTAAACTACTAATAGCTTTTGATAAGCAATAACAATTTAGGACACTTAGCTATTGATTAGATTAGAGATCAGGGCAAGGATCTCAAGCACCATGGCATTCACAGAAAAGAGGCTACTGGCGAGTGAATTTAGTCACGACTTGCTGTCGGTGCTAATGACGTGTTATTTTTGGAGCATAGATCTTTTATGGTGCAGATATAAAAACTGAGGCTGATAAAAACTACCTGGAGAGTATTGAAATATAGTATATGGAAAAGGAATAATTGTACTGAGCGCGATCATGAAAAGGAGAGGAAACTGGATCTGACCAATATTGCAGTAAATTACCTGGTGCTCAACGTCGAATGCAGATGATTGACGACTTACCCGAGAGAATATAATATGAATTCATATTATATTCTCTCAGGTAAGTCGTCAATCATCTGCATTCGACGTTGAGCACCAGGTAATTTACTGCAATATTGGTCAGATCCAGCTTAAGCGAGCAAAAGCTAGGAAAGAAAAATGTATGCAAGTGCATAAAAACGTGAGTAATGCTAATAATTATAGTAAGGATGATAATTAGCAAAGAAGAGATGTGTGGTTCTCACTCCAATTATTTTATCATATTTATCAATAAATATCAACCTCGAACAAAAAAAATACACATATATTGGAACTTTCTTGAGATGGCCTCTATGTACTCTAATGGCTTTTAAAACTTATTAGAGTGGGTCAAAGTTTTTGGCCTTCATAATAAGTATATATTATGATTTTGATTCTATAGGTCATTTCAAGAAACTTTGAACAACGGAAATAAATTTCAAGTCAGCGAAAATTTTGTCTCCATATTCATATTTAAATTTGAACTTTAGAAAACCCATATAAGAATTTAATGAAACTTTGAATGATTATAAGGTTGATAGTCAAAACAAGTACTTAAAGAGGTCCAATTATAAAAATTATCGAGGTCGTGAAAATTGTAATGATTTGGTTTTGAAATTTTTACGCACATTAGTTACGCACAAAGTTAAACCACATTTCGCCCATAATTTTTTAGAATGTTTGTCATAGATTGCGAAGTTTAATCGAAATCGTCAAAAAAATTTAACAGTTAAGGAAGTAATAACGAGGAATCAGCACAATTCCAACTCATATACGTTTCGTTTTATGAACGTTTTGTTGATTTTCAAAATCGGTTGAGTTTGTTGCGAAAATGTTGACGAAAAATTTTGCAACTATTACACTCACCTTTTCATGTTGAATCCCGAAGCGCTTGCATTGCAAACATTCTTTGCACAAAACAAATAGCACATAATTTATGCTATATGAAAATATATGGCCAAGTTTCAATGAAACACAACTACTTCCTAATAATATTTACTCAATTTCTTTTTCAACTTTCCGTAGGTATAGTAATCGCAAAAAATTAAATATTATTTGCATATCTTTATAGGTTTCTAAACATTTTGGCGTACCTTAAAAAAATGATGTTAGTGTGTGTTGGATTCGATTTTTGTTCATGATTTCGATCGCGCACTGATTAACCGATTTGAGTGATTAAAAATACATTAAATTCATATTGACAGCGAGGCGTGATGATTAATTTTTTTGACATGGCAGGTCCAGCAAATTCAAAAAAAATATAAGTTTTTGAGAGCATCAAAACAAAGCATCCCGTTAGAATTATTCATAAAAACATAATGCTGCTTTTGTCGACGGTTTATAAGAATTGTTATAGTTTTTAGAAAGCAGAGTTTTGAAAAAAAAATCAAGGACACAAAAATCATATTTTTTATTTTTTCAAATCATTAAAAATTTCCCGAATTTTCAAAATATATCAAAATTTTCATAAATAAAAAATCAGTTTTTAAAAAATATTGAAATTAAATATAGTTTTTTTTTTAATTTTCCAGAATACTTATACAAATTTTTCTAAAAATGTCAACTTTAAATATTCTAAAGTTTCATTATATAGTTGAAATAAATAATCTTCTCTTTGCAATTTTGTTTAAAAATGTTTATATAATAAAAAAATTTTTTTTTTAAGAAATATGAGAAGATCCTCGGAAGCGTTCCAAATAAGATGCACTCCTATTAAATTTTATTTATTATCTTTTTGTTTCTTGTGAACATATAGTATAGATCGTCAAATATATACAAGCACTTGAATATATTAGATCTATGAAATGAATGAATGAAATTTATAGTATTTATTTGAAAACATAAATAATTGTTAGTCATTGATCAATTTTGATTTATTGATTAATTTATTTCTCGAATGATCAATTACGGTACGGGAGGTTCCAGAAATTTGCTTTAAGGCCCAATGGCATGCCCCACTATAGTTAATACTTTAATTTGTACAGGGTTTTCTGCGATTTGCGCAGTTCGTTTATCAGTATAGTCTTCACTTCCGTTTTAAAGAACTAGTGAATGATATCACGCTTATGGTTTTTCTCTGAAAAAAGTCAATATGTCTCGTTTTGCTTTTTTGTCTTCTACTGAATTTGATTATACTTGCGGTTTCACATTTAAAAAAAATATAAGTATGTAGTGTACATATATACGCACGTTTTTGTCAGATATGAACTCAAACATTTTTCTGCTAAATTATCAATAATTATAGGAATTTTACAGTAGTAAATAAGATCATTTAAAATTGAATAAGTATATTCTTTTATTTTCAAATGACATAGTACTCCAATCTATGTTTGATGTTTTCCATACATCAGATGGAAGGACTTGTCTTATACATACATATAGCAGCTAATATTATTTATTTTATTTTTTCTGAACTAAAAGCATTTTTTTGTTTCAAAATAAAAATATTTATTAAACTTCTTTTTGTTTTTAAATATTATCGAATAGAGTAAGCGCCGCGCGTCGCTGTCTACCGGATAAACTGGTAAAGAAGAGTTATAAAATATAAAAAGAAGAAAAGAAAAAATATCAAATTTATACTTATTATTAAAATCACTATAAGATATCTGATAGTGTGATGTGCCTATATCTAATAATCCGAAAACGCCATACCTGCCTCTCCAAAAATTTAATCAGTTCTTCATTTCGCCAATACATATGAAATGTTTTTGAATCATTCATATCAGGCGCTCATTTATCTCAGAAACTAAATTATATACTGTTTTCGCTGAAATTGTTTTTGCCAAAAACTAAATATTTTTTTACTTTTAAATTGTTTGATCCGTATTCCCGATGTCGTATACAAAAATTTGTATCCGCACCACATACACATACATTCATTTTTTCTTATGTTTGTCAAATTGTGCAGAAACCATAAAGATATATAAAAAATTCTTGAATTTTTTTCCGATTACTATAACTTGTACCATACATGAAGTTAAAAATTCATTTAATTTCAATTTACTAGGTTTATTCTTCGTATTTTGCATGTGTTGTTTGATAATAAGTCTATGGGACAAGAGGTTGTATGAATCATGTGAAATTAAATAGAATCGCGAAATCAGTTAATTAATATAAATTTTGTGTTTAAAAAATCTAATTTATTATACTTCTTTATCATTTCTATATCGTTATTTTAAATATTTTGTGTGCACCTCTGTCAACATTAAACTAGAAATATGATGCGTAAGTGGGTTTTTATTTTATTTTATTTATTAAATAACCCAGACCGTGCCGAAAATAAACCTGCGCAAATAGTCGTGCGTATATAAATAACTTGCACATTGTATTAACAACTATTTTTGATAAGTTAATGTGAAAGTTTTTGTGTTTAACAGTTTTGA